AGTACCTGTCACTCACTGCAACAAAATAACATTCGCATTCACATATTTGATATTTTTAATTCAAAGCTTGCTAACGTTGATTATTTAGTTTTTTTCACTTTGCACTACCAGTTAAGAGAAACTCTTTTTTGCCAAATGAGAATTTAATTGTCTTAAATCAGACTTCGGATAAATTTACGCAAGGCAGTGAAGAATACGTAACAGGTATTGGAATTTTTTAATTAAATATACTAAGAATAATGCTTAATATTGATTTAAAGATAAACACAACAGCCGTAAAACTAAGTATTTTTTCTTCATAAATCGTAAAACTGCGTTTTAATGAAATCATTTGAGATTACAATTTATTTTCTCGCAAATACACTTGCGAACTCTCATATCTCGATTTTTTATTTTAATTTGCTATCTGATCTTTCTATGATTTATGCTTATTTTGATTATTTTGTAATTGCAGATCTTATGTTTTTACAATATCGATAGCACACTAAGAAACTGAACACATTTTTCTCAAACGAATTGTCAAACTTTTAATGATTTTACCCTTATTCTCCTCCCTCCTCCATTGCTTGATAGTAACCAGTATTTTATTCATAAATACAGAGGGTGTTCACAAATTTTTAGAACGATTTTGATAAAGAATTTTAAAAAAGCAAATGTTTTGGGAAAAAATTTCTCATAATAGCTTATTGTATTGGAAAAACACCGTCTGCTACATCTAAATTTGCCCTTCTTTCAAAACGTAGCATGTAAACAAGCTGTGTATCGAAGAGTACGATTTTGAGTTTCCTAGAAGGAAATATTCTTATTCCATAGTTCTAAAACGTTTCAAAATGCATAATATTAAAATTTCTAAGCGCAAAATAAGCAAAATTATTAAACGGAAAAGGATAAACTGTCAGTCATTACTTCTACATGGAAGGAAGATTCGAAACGAATACCCGGCAAAGGTACCAGCTGTTTTTAATGTGTGTAAAGTAAAATCGTTGGTAACAAGAAACAAAAAATCCATCAACGCGATAAATCATTCGGAAAGCCTTTAAATATAACTGCAGGAACAATAATAAAATAACAAGATTATAGATTATAACATAAGATTATTATAGTATAAGATTTATATCATAAAAAAAGCTAAAACACATTATTTTCATCAGTTTTGTTTCAAGGAATGTAGCCCAACGCAGAATAAGTTATACAATCTTTTATGAAAAACTTAACAGGAGGTAAATAGAAATAAATTAAGATCCTTGATGAAGCAGGAATTTACCCAAATGATTGTAACAAACAAAGGTCTGTTTATTATCTAAAGTGTGGGGGAAAATTATACAAGCCTGATTCCACCAGCTTGATTGATATTGTCACAGGATTCTGTTAAAAGTAAATTAAAAATACGAAGAGTAGAAAAAAATGTTAAAATCAACTCTACAAACAAGAAAACGTTATATGTCTCATATTTACAAAAGAAACGCCATTTCTTTATCGCAGTGTCTTTTCAAAGAGTGAAATATCATCATGACATCTCGAAAGAATGAAGACTGATACAGGTATTGTATATACACCTTTTCAACGTATTCTTATGAAGTTCCCTAATTTCCTTTCTACGGTCTTTGATCTCTTGAAAAGACCTCTTTCTGAAAGCAAACCCACCACGACTGATGTACACTGGGAAGTAGTGGAAGAGCAATGGAAATTAATACCTCTGGAAAATTTATGAAAATACATTCTGTCATGGAAATTACGATGCAGTCTTTTAATGCAAAAACAGGGTTATGAGATCGAACATTTAAAAAAATACTATTTATATTTTAAATACTAATTAAACAGCCGATAAATCGTTCTAAACATGTGTAAGCACCGTCTGTACTTTTCATTTGTTATTATCTCACTGTAATTATGAAATAAAAGAAATTTATGAATAAACTTACTGGTCAAGCTACGGGGAGAGAGGAAACTCAGCAGAAAAATATGCGGGGAAATACGGTATTTACTTTCAATTTTTATTGAATTAAAGGTCACTTGAAACAATATGCGATATTTGTTCTTTACAAGCCGCTTCTAAATCCGTGCGTAAGAAACTGAACTGCATATGAGAAACATTAATCATCCGTACATATGAGAATGCAGGCTCATTATTCTCATATGAATGGTGAATCCGTTCATAGACCACCAATATAATTTATAGCTACATGATTTGATAAGTAAGCCTTTGAGAAAGACACTAAAGGTTACACATGGGGAAAATCACAAAAACTCTAATGTAATTTGCTCTTTCTCCGGGATTCGAATTCCAGTCAATTACCAGTATTTAACAGCTTTATCCATTCAACCACTGATGAGCTACCTTTTTGAAGGGAGGGATACATTAATGGAGGAAAGGTATCTCACTTTTGAGTCACGCACATTATACTATCAATACAAGTCGATCTCAAGGGGATAGCAAAGAGAAATATTATGCAGCCAGCTTCTTTAGCAGTTGAGGACAAAACCCGCAATTAGTTAAAGCTATCAAATTTTCGTTGCTTTTTCACCGATTCCTTACTGGTTCTTAGCATTTCCAATATAATTTTGCATACATATATTGAATCACACTGACATTTAAAAGCTGTAGAGACATTAGGTTATTTGGAAAAGCCATAGAAAGGAAAAATTAGCAACCGTGTTCGCAGGGAATCGAACTACGGATCTCTGGAATACTGGCCCAGCGTGCAGAACCACTACACCACGAAGGCACGCTAGGAAGGCGGGAGAAATACCTTATATACTCCCCCCTTTTAAAGGGCGACTGGGGTTTTTAGGGGATACAATCGCCAAATCCTGGGTGTGGAGAATCCTCCTCCAACACCCTTTTTAGTTCAGGCGCCACTGTAGAGACATTAGGTTGTTTGGAAAAGCCGGAGAAATGAAAAATTAGCAACCGCCTTCGCCGGGAATCGAACCACGGACTCTGGAATACCGGCCCAGCCTGCAGAACCACTACACCACGAAGACACGCTAGTAAGGCGAAAGAAATACCTTATAAAGTTAAGCAAGCGACCATAAAATCTATAAAAATGGAAAAGTAGATCTTTGAACACCAAATTGCGCATGAAGATAGCAAATGTGTTTCGGCAAGAACGAAAACAACTTTTGTGTAAAATAAAACAATATTTAATTTTCGTAAATTATATGATGACGTCGCATTTGGGGCATTAACAAAGCGATGTTTAAAGCTAATGAAACTTACATTAATAAGGTATGTGACACCTTGGATCTTTTCACAAATTTTACATTGATTGCCCATACTTTCAATTTTAAGCCATCGCAGATCCAAGTAATTGCTATTACTCCATTAGGACAGTTTCCAACTGTCTGAAACTATCTGGGGGAGATAAACGTGCAGAAATAATTCCCAAGAGCATCCCAATGATTTTCAATGGGATTAAGGTCGGGAAAACATGACAGCCATTCCATATGAGAATACCCTTGCTCTGCAGTATTTGCTGACGATGTTGGCTTGATGTGGACGGGCATTATCATCCCTAAGAAGTGAATCAGGACCTACTACTGAAGCGTAGAGTTTCACAATGGAATATAGGATTTCATTCCAATCGTGTGTAGTGTCACAGAATCATCATTAAAGACGTACAACTGTGGGTTATTTCTCATTGAAGTTACAGCTTACACCATGATGCTGCATCTCTAAATGTGTGATATTCTGGGCATGATTAGGCATGCTTTATTCTCTATGAACATACTCATTGTTTTATGCCAAAACAAAACTGGACTCGTCGATGAACAGGACGTTGCGCAAATCTGAGACAGTCCAACTGACAATTGAGAACATCACTTTAATCTTGCCTCTCTGAATTAAGAGATTAGTGGAGCACAAACACTGGTAAGCCTTTAGTCCACTGGGCACGGGTATCCTAACAACTGCCGACTCGTTTGGAACTGTTTCCACATTGGAGAAATTACCGACGGATGAAGTCAAAGAAAAGAGTGACATCTTTGATCTAATCTCCTGCTTCAGTGCGTCACTCACCATCTACCATAGAAACACGAATGTAATAAAAAATTATCGTACGAAAGATGTAAAAACTTCGTATTAGTGTTTAAATGAATCTCCTTAAACCTTTCAGAATGCTGGTGTCTTCAACAACTGCCTAATTAGTGTAAGTCTGGAGAAGAATCAATCGCGATTGATTTAATATACGATTTTAAAATATTGCTATTCGCATCCGCAATGATCCTACTCTAATTGCGATTTCGAAAATTACTAATTTGCGCTACGATTTTTGAAGGTATATATATATATATATATACACACACACAGATATATATGTATACATATACATATATATATATAGTGGGTACATTGATTTAGTGCATAATGTTAATTTCACGTTGTTTCAGATGTTTATGCTCATTCATATTTTATGTTAATTCAGTTCTTAAAAATTTTGCTTAAATAAATAGGAAAATTTATTAAATTGCGCAGTGTTAAATTATGCAAGTCAACTAAAATGTTTCGCTCTCTCTCTGTATATACATATATATTTTTGTATATTAAACTAACTTTAACAACTTTACATATTAGATGCTAAATGATAAGGGTTAAGAAATATAAGAAGTAAAACCTCTAAAGATATGAAACTTCTTATTGAAAGTAAATAGATGAAATGAAACTTTAAATATTCAGACGTATTACGACCATTAATTCCGTAAAACCAGTATATGAAAGAAATACATATAGTAAATATATTTCTTTTAAAACACAAAACACCGGATTTGTTGTTGCCGTGAAAAGTTATTTAAATTTTTGTTAAAACATATTTTAACAAAACTTTGAAACAAATTTCATTAATGTAGCTCAATGAATGTAAAATGTTAAGTAAGATGATGAAGCCATCTGTTCAGTTATTTACGACGTTCTTAACTACGTTTTCATATCTTTGAATAAAAGGGTAATTTAATAAAAGGGTAACTGCATGTATCCATAATTTTTTATCTTAAAGTTTGCTTACCTTCACAAAAATTTTTGCATGGCATTATAATGTCGTCATTTTGGCACTCGGGCTGCAAAAGTTGACAAACAAATTCTCTTGCAAGTGGGTAGCATTCGAAATCCAGAATTTGTCTGAATGTGACCAGATTGTTCATAACTTCTGAGGTATTGCTGTGACCAACAACATTTGGATACGAAGTTGCATTGTACGGTAGATGTGTGCAAAATGGCACTTCTATTGGCATGCATTGACGGGGCACTATTTGAGCCATGGCAGAGCTGGGAGTAGTTGTAAGTCCTTCCACATAACCTGGATATTGGCGTCTGGGAACCCATTTGTCTAAGATATCATCTACGGCTGGCTTCCGCTCTGTAAACACAAAGTAGATCTGAATAAAATGCATTTATTTGTTTATTTGAGTGCAAAAAAAGTTTATAAGATAAAAAAGGCCTATTTGAAATTTTTATTGTTTAAGTCATGTCAAGTAATGAATATTATGTAAGGCAAATCGAAGTTCTGTATTTTGAAAAGACCACCTTGCATGAAGGGGCGTCTTGGAAATTTACATGTAATTCACGGGCCCATGCAACCATCGTTGGTCTTTGCAAGAGATAAAGAACGCCTTCTTAACGATGCCCTCTCATAACAGTAGGTTAGAGACACTCGAAAAGACATAAAGGTGCCAGCATATTTATGAAGAATGCTTTTTTCAAGTTAAAAACTGATTTTTATAAGCAAGAGTGTACTTTTATTCTAAGAAACATTTTTATACATTTCTGTTTGCACTGGCAGATCCGCATAAGTTGCAGGTATTACTTTTATGATGGGACACCGTCATAAAAGATACAACATATAATAAAATGATTTAAAATTGACTCATAAATTTAAATGTAGAACGAAATATATTTTATTTAGTGCTAAAAATGACTGCTTATTACAGAATGTCCGTATTTGTTTTTCTGTTAGATATGAAAAAAGTGACTTCAGTATATTTCATTTCATAATTAGACAAGTAAAAATTGAGTGCAAATTAGAACTCAAGCAGTTGTGCTCATTATTTGAAGCAAAATAATGGGATAAAATTTAAACGCCGGTCAAAGTTTTATATACGAATTCACTACGTTGTTTGTTCCCGTTTTATTGTAAGAGCTCTGGTAGTGTAAATAAAGTTGACTCTCAAATGGTAAAGTTACTTGATGATATAAAGTCACAATAATGTTTTTAAATATTTTATCCAAATGAAGAATCTTTTAAATTTTAGCTATAGCTAACTTTTAATGTTTAGATGTATAAGCAGATTTTAGTGACTGATTTATACCTAATGAAACTAAACTTGCTTTTCACCCTAAAATATTATGGGCTTCGCTTTTTTTACATTTAACATACTTAAATGATAATATGAGGACAATAATAATTAAAAGCACAAAGAAGAAATTTTTATATACGCTAAATAACGTCACAGTTTTAAATAAAAATCACTTGTGCGAAATCTGGTTTAACCAAAAGTTTGGAAAGCAATCACTTTGAAGCATCGAGTCCGACAATCAAAGACCTCAAAATTGTTTTCATTGTTTCATTATTTTTAGCTGAATAAAACCAGATGTCGTCAAAGCCCTTCAAGAGCGTACTTGCCCGTATCTCGTGTAATGCAGTCAGATTGTGGAATAGTAAAAGGAGCGTTTTACAGGAGAGCCTCTTTTGCGTAAACTTAGTTGTTTCGCTGTGGTGCAATTTTCGTTCACTTTGGTGTATTAAAAATTCTTGCATTGTGATGCGCATTTTAAATCTTAAGGCAACGGCATTTTTCCATGCAGTCCAATCATTATAATTTTTCCCCGTTGTCAATTTTGTTTTGGTTCCATGGATGCGAGAAATAACATTAGTTAATTTTAGTTAGTCTGACCAGTGAGCCAACGTTGAAATTCTTTCAACCTCATTGAGCCATTCGAAGGCATTATCAATGGCATTTGCCCTAAAAAATCTGAACTCAAGTTTTTTTATCCTTGGTGGATGTAATTTGGAGAGCGTTTGGGGAATATATCTGTCTATCTAATAACAATTTTTGTGTCTCCATCAATGTAGTGAGCATTGCAATAATATTGGAATCTATTTGATAATGCGAAGGGGTAGTGGGTGGGAGCAATGGATTAGGACGATTACTTAAATCTTCTACTTGCTTTGTCTGTGATTCAATTTGCTTCAATAATTCTGTTTTATCACGAAGCATTTCTTCGGAATTATTCTCATAATTATTTGGCTACTGCATACGAAGAGCTATTAATTTATCTACAGTTACAACTGCAGTTCTTTTGATGTTATTCTTCATAATTTGTATTTCCTTTAGACGAAAGTTTTCTAAAGTGCAAGTGTTTTCAACTGTTCGGTAGTTAAATGGCGAAACGGTTACCCCTCTAAGAACGCCTAACAATTTACATCTGTTGACATTTTTTTGTTTGTTCAAAGTTTATCATGTCGAGAACGGGGGATTATGTTAGGCGAAGTTCTTAGCGAAGTGCGCTAGTATTATTTAGGCCTTAAAAGAGAAGGGCTAGTTGATAGATATTTTCCTTCTGAAACAGGAAGTGAAGAGTGATGACGTTGTCATGTTGACACTAGCTGCAATTCGTGCAATTTGTAGCAAAGAAATATTTTAAATTTGAAAAAAAATATACTTAAAAAACTGTGCTTGAAAAATAGTTTTAATTTAGAAAAGAAGACATTATAACTATAAACATTTATAATGTTTAAAAATTTAATAATACTTATTTAGTAATCTTAAAATAACAGATAAAATACGCTACGTTTCCTTAGAAGTTTTAGGTTTTTTCCCTGTTCATTTATTATTAAGTCATACAAAAAAAAAAAAAAAAAAAAAAAAAAAAAAAACCTATGACATTCATTATGTTTTTTTCATCTGCATAAGTGAGAGAATTCTATTCTCTCACTTAGTTACAAGACAACTATAATAACAGCTTTTTAAAAATAGGCAAAAAAAAAAAAAAAAAAAAAAAAAAAAAAAAAAAAAAAAAGCACAGCTTAATTTGGTGTAGTTTTGAATAATATGTCTTTATTTTAACCCCTGAAGCTAAAGAAGAGGAGGTCACGTTTGTGTGTCCTTTATATCGATAGTTTTATTGCTTTTTGACCTAATTATAAATCTTACATTTTCGTGTTTCTCTTCCGATTTGATATAATAACAGATGTTTTAAAAATAATTGTCTAATACACAATTTGGAATTCAAACAGGCAGCTAAATATTAAAATTTGACAGCTAAATATTAAAATTTTAATACTGGTATTTATTCAACTAATTGTAATACATTGAACTACTAAGTAACTTACTTATAATTTAAACTAAAAAAATATATACGAAAGCTTTCTTTGAGAGACAAAATTTGAGAATAAATAACGATAAATTTTCTCTTTCTTTTATTTATTAGATTTTTATATGACACAAAACAGAAAAAATAGTATTTATACTTAAATTACTGTAAATGTTGTTGCGTTCTACGGGTTCGTGGATTTGGAGTGATTGATGACAACACTTGATGAAGAATCAAAAACACAATTTATTCGACAGTATTTGGCACGAGAGTTCCAAATACATGTTTACCATCGTCTAAAAACTACGATAAACCCGCTGAAACAGTCAGCAACACAGCCTTCCGGTTAACAGTCTATAAGGGTGAAGACAGCTTCACGGCAAAATACTAAATACAGCTTCTGACTCGGTCGATCGCTCTCGGAGCTCAACACACTCGAGATAATCTTCACGATAAAACTCACTCTACACTACGATATACTCGTCGATGCACTCGATACATGCCTACTTCGCGTACAGGCAGGGTTTACATAGCTTTTTGGCCCTGCCTTCGAGAACATTCTGGGCCAAACCGGTAAGAATTCCTTTCTAGAATGTTTTCCGTCCGTCTATAACATATCATCAATTTTGACGCCAAATGGTAACGCGCAAATGATTTCGCGCAAAGTCTGGTAACTCTGTCTTCCCTAAACCCGCTTTGCGGGGAAGCTACCTTACCGCAGCTGGACATATTGCAACAATATCTTTGCATTTACTACACCACTTCATGACGTTTCGCTTTTCTTGAAGTTAGCAATCTTGGAATTAAATTACCAAAAAGTACCATCACAAACTGTACATACTTATCGACAGTCTGGTTATTTTCGTAGACTTATTAATTTTCAGATATGAAGGAGAAAACTGTTCTCATGTAAATATGCTCAAAAAACAAAGCGAGTATTCTTATTGCAAAAATTCGTAACTTAAGATATTTATCTTTTGATAAGTACTAATAACAGTTAATCAAATTTGTATCTTAAAGTCTTTGAATGGTAATGAATATAACGTAAATTCTAACTCCAAACCATTAAAAGCTTAAATTTTTCTTCAAATTCTTGTCATAATAATGCTATTTAATTTACGGGACATATATTCGCAGGCAGTATAAAATTGCTTCGACAGCCGACAGTTTGATTTTGACACTGATTTACTATAAAACAATATATGTGATTAAAATTTATTTGAGATGTCCACATTGCTAGTTTTAAACAGGCGAAGTCAGAGCAGATGCAACATAATGACGTCAGACTACTTTCTGGCAACCCTTCCCTACGAGGATCGCGTCAGAGATGAGTCACAAAAAGGAATGAACTAGCCCTTCTGTTTAACCCTGGTATTACGAAATCCTAATTTAAAAAATTACGAAGAAACCAATATTATAATAATTATTAAAATAATGTAATGAAAGATGAAATCTTCATAAATATTCGTAGCCAAATTCATCAGAAGTGTTTGTAATCAAGTTAATCGGAAACGGTTGACGAAGAAATGGTGACTCAGAGTACTATTTAGAAGTTTTCGTGAAAGAATTTCAACTATTTTTTTGTTATTTATTTATTTATTTCAGATACAGACTGCACTATATAACGGATTAGTAAAGTTCTGAAAAACAATAGTGGAATTTAGAATTTATTTATTAAAATACAAGCGAAGGCTATATGAACCGACAACATTATTTTAACGAACGACAAACCACTGTTGTCACACATATTCAAATAAATATTTTTGTTTCGTTCTCGCGATACAAAACACAAACATATGGATTCAAACACTCAAAATTACCGAAATTTCCTTTACAGAATAATTATAACACATAATTAAACAATTTAATTTACATAATCTTACCTTGTATCTGAATAGAATCCTGATCTATTTCCAAGTTACGAAAAACTCCAGTTCGAGAACGCATGACTTCTTCTGAGAGGATGACATACAAATCTGCAGCGCTCAGACCTGCTTGCTCTGGTGAAAGATGCAAATTGAAATGGACGATCAAATTTTTATCCTCATCTCTTCTGAAACAAAGGTTACAGTTATATGCGTAAGTTGCTCAAATCTATGCACACGAAGCAATAAGTACAGATACATATTTCTATGAAAAGCACAATACCCTTTACTGGAATCATGCGAAACGTATTCCTATTTCTAGCTGTTTCCTTCTGTGTAAAAGCCATACAAAAGAAATTAGTTTCATTGCAATTCCCAGGAAATATATGCAAAGTTTTGGAATATGTTAATATTTAGCATTTGAACAAACCATCGAACTACAATACTGAGATACTGTAACGTTGAGGCGCAATACATTTAATGATAATAACTTACGTTCAGCTTGTGACAATTATTTTAAAGTTTTATTTAGACTTTAGTTTAATTTGCATACTTGTACACTGTCCAGTCTCCTCTTTTATTCATCACATGTATTAAGCCAGAGGGTTAGGCGACTTAAGGTAATTTAAAAGCTAGTTTAGCTAACTGCAGGTCATGCCCAATGTTGCCATATTGTGCAAGTTTTCGCAAATTTGCCACTTTTGACAAATTTGTGTTACTAAAACTTATGTCTATGCGATTTTGCGAACTTTCGGCTGATCTGTGATTTCCTTGTGTTATATTTTTCTTTTTATAAAATTTTTTTAATCTGTCGTAAAATGCGTATATATTCAAATAATATATCTATTAAAATTAATTTGTAATAAAAAGCAATAATTTCTTTAGACTTAGAATTGGAAACTGGCAATTGTGCGATCGTAGCGCACGTGCACTCAGCACTAGTCGCCGATGTTTTCATGTATTTCATTGATTGTTTTGTTTAATATTTTGGTGTTCTATGAGTAAGATTGCATATTATAGCTTCTAAAATGGAATTATGAGCAATGGGAAAAAATTCAGCGCCATCTTTCAAAATGCTTAACTTAAAATACCCATGTTTGAGAATTGGAAAGCATGAGCTAGAAAGCATGAATGAATTCTTATTAGAAGCTAATGTCAACCGAGGGCATACAAAACTGATTCAGTGAAGTGCAATACTCTTTAAGGCATAAGCAAAATTTTGAACGAATCCTACTTCATAATAATGAAAATGTGCATTTGAAAAATATGAACAGAATAAATCGATTTAAATTAAAACACTCGGTATTTATTGTTTCTCCAGGCATCTATATGGCCATTGACCATTTAACCAAAGTTTGTAAGAAAGAAATGCCATCAAATCCATCATATGAGATTTTATGTTTACTCAGGGCAATATTCACAGCATTCAGGAAACTTTTTCACTTTAATTGCGTGAAGAAACTGAAATTAATAAATCATCATTTTCTTTAATACTGGATGCACTTTCATGTTTCATTTCCTAAGCGTTTATGCTTATATGTATGTTATAATGGAAAAGGAAATAAAATAACGGCATAGTTTCTAAAATTTGTTGAAGGTATAGAGTCGTACAGTAACATCGGATTTCTAAATAACTCCACAAACAAATAGTGAAAAACTGCAATGTTTAGTAGTTATCAGAATCTAATGAATCCGAGCGGAATATCAACTAACTGAAAGTGATTAATATTTAAAGTAAGGCAAGAAGCTATGAATAAAAAAATAGCAACTCAGAATTGGTACAACAGCATTAAAAATCCAAATGTGAAGGAAGTACGAACAAGAAACCTGAAAAAAATTAGCTAAACCGTAACAGGAACATATTAACCGAGAATTAATGAAAAGAAGCAATACGGATTTAAACAATGGAAAAACAATGGAAAATATGGCCTTAAGATTTCGTCAAAACCAACATATCGATGAAGGCACTTAAAACGAAATTACAGGTCGTAATTTACAGAAATCACGGAGACTGAATTTGTGATGACGTCAAAGGTTACTCGAGCTTAGGAACTAATGACATCACAATAGTTTCTTGTTCGCTGACGTTATGTGCTACTTTTCGATCTGCTCTTGCTACTTTAGCTCAAACATTTCTGGCAACACTGCTCACGTCTAGTAGGGTGAAAGCCACCTTGCTACCTAGAAGAATTTGCATCAGTCTGTATATGTAGAAGGTCCCGTTTCCTTTCGAATTTGGTAAATGGCTTTATAGTGATTAATTGAAAACAAGATGGCTTGTTTGAGGAAAACTGTTTTCGTAATAACCGTATTACTTTAAGGCAGGCCGCTTAATTGCTAACGTTAATTGTCATCTTGAATTAAAATCTATTGAAAGTCGAGCACTGAAACCATAATGAATATCTTTTTCTTTTATCATTGCATCAATGATAAAGATAAAGTTTATATACGGGTGATTCCAAAATGTGTGGCAAAAATGTGAAGGCAAGTAGAGAGGACTGAAATGAGTAGAATTTGTAATAGATCATGTGTACCGAAATGGCGCATTAAGGAGGCTGTTGAGTGGTAGGTAAGAAAGCGTTTTCTGCTGGCGTAAATCGTCATTCCTCGTGTGAATTTCGTCCTAAAGAAGGAAACCTCTTTGATTTTGGAATAAGTATAAAGCAAATAATTAAAGAAGGGAAAGTTGCTATGAGTAAAAAATATGCTACTGTTATTGGCTTTGCATATCCATGACTGTTCAAGAATATAACACACTGTCAAAAACTAATTACTGAATTTTTAGGATATGGAGAAGCATACTCATTTTTCTATAAAAAGAAATGTTTTCGAGTATTTAAAAGACATTAGTCCTTTTTTAAGTTACAGACGAGAAAACCACGAGCATTTCACACAACCAGCCCGTATAACCGGCAGAAAGAGAACTCGATATGAGCTTTCAGCGTTTTGGGGCTTTAGCCTGGCAGCCACGATCATATGATAATAATAACTCAGATAAATAATAAGGACAGATCTAAGTAGAATCGGAGTGAGCATTTTTGATAGATTAAGGAGTTATAAATGAAATGGACATTGCTTTTTAATTTAAAATTTAAAACAACGACCTTAGTTTGGCATAAATTTTGAACAAAACTGTATAGATTTCGAGGAAGATTCAAAAACAGGTTCCTTTCCTTCAGAAGCAAAACATTTCTATTTTTTTGGAAACAGTTTTTGTCTTGAAGAAGTGGGACCTGTAAGAGATCATTTTCGAAATCGACAGGGTTTTATTCAAAATCAATGCCAGACAATTTTTTGTCTGACACTGGCATGTACCTGTTTCAGTTTGGTTACTTTTATACTTGCATATGATGAACGTGTTTGTTCAGACTGTTAGGTTTATTGAACACGGAAACATGAAAGTCAACCGGGAATCGAACCGCAGATATTCCAACTGCTAAATAGACATACTACTAGTTAGACCACGTGAGCACCCATGTGAGACTGTGATAAATCTTTATAGTTTCCTTAAAGAATAGTTGACTTAATAATCGTTGAAATAATAGGGTTTTAATTTTCCATAGTACCGTTATTTAAAACGGCAGTTAATTGAAAAAAATATGAATTTATGAAAGGTAAATTTTAATTACTGCTCTGTCATTAGTTTTATGAAAGTAAGACTATCTGCTCATATTAACTTACATAATATTGGAGAAAATTATCCATGTTAAGAATATTATTATTATTATTAATTTTTAAAGATGAAATGTGGTTTGTAGTATATTTTGGTTTTCATCAGCAACTTATACTCAACTTATTCATATCATTTATAATGAATTTGCTAATAAAAATTCAAGAAATCGTATCAGGTCAAAATAATTTCTTTACTTATTTTTACAAGCATTTTTCATTATTTAATATCGTGTTTTTTAGCTCCTGAAGAAGGATTTTGAAGGATTTTTAGAAATTAAAAAAAATTTTAATTTTAAGGAAAAGATAGAAAAATGTTTAACTTTAATGAAGAGATAGAAAAATCTTGATCTTTTTAACCGAAACGTTCTTTTTTAATAATATCCTTTAACATAAATAATGCAGATATTTTAACTAGTTTTAGATGCCTTCCAAGAAAATTATTCATTTTATTATATCAGCTTTTACATAATTTTTACAAAGAGAAAATTGCTTTATTTCTTTTAATTAAAGATGCATTTATCAATCATAATTAAGATGGAATGAGGTGATATTTTTTCAATTATTACATCTTCAATTAAATATCCCTTAAGTATATTTTCGTACTTAATCCTATGTTATTTTTATAATATACGAATGCAATAAAACTGCAGATTTTCAAAAAAATACCCCTTAAAATACACTACGTAAATTTCATATGCTTGATTAATAGACGTCCACTGCATAAATATCATCTAATGATAATTCATTGTTGAGTTGCGCTCAAAACATTCTGCATCCAACTGCGTTTATGCGGTGTTAGTAACTTTCTTTTATTAATTACAATAATGATGCAAATGCATATAAAAATTAGCAATTAAGATAAATTGTTAAGTTAGATGACTTAAAAGTCTTATCAATTACATAGACTAGCTATATTATTAAAGCATTAAACAAACATATAAATTATTACGAAGTATGTACAGCGTATACGGCTTTGTTTATATGAGTTAATCAAGGTATTCGAGAATCAAAGAGTTATATATTAAAACTATGTATTGGCTGATTTTCCGGGACGCTTGAGTGATAGACGAAAGATCTTAGACATAGTAGAGTGATAATATTGCCTAGCCCCGTGCATGATTAAAACCCTAGTGACCCTGGTAAGGTAATGACGATAAAAAGTGAAAATAAATATGCTGAGGTAAATTATAAATGTTAAACGAACTGCAGCATAGGATCGCTTAAAATATAATTGAGCTGATAGTCCAATCTAGTAGTTGACTGTAGGGGAACAGAAGTAAGAGATCCATGTCGCAGGATGTTTTCCATCGAAAGTGGGACGGAAACAGTCAAAATCGTATTGCCATCTATCAGGTAGCTTCGGCCAACGATTTCAGTATTGGTTGCGATGAATTCATGGGTCTAATTTCAGTCAGGAGAACTGGTTACAACAGTATACTATATAAGTCTCAGACTTTCGTGTTTTAATGATCGCTTACTTTTATTTACTGAATTAAATCTTGTAAATGTTCAAATA